TTAGCAGAAAGAGGTTTTGCTCTGCCTGCTTCCTTCCACTTGCACAGATAATTTCCCCAGGGTTGGCATTATTCTCCAAGAATGTGAAGATGCCAGTGATAAAGAGAAAGGAGAGGGAAGTGCAGGGTCGTTTGTTCTAGGTGGTAGAAATTGTGAACAAGAAACTTCTACCCACTCTCTAGTTCAGGGGCTCAGCAGAGCCCCCTTGGCATGTAGGTGAAGTACATGGATATATCTGAGGTCATGGCCCTGGCAGAAGATTTAGGGGGTTAGGGGGACTGAGTTGCCAAAATTGATACCTGCTTTCTGCTTTCTCCAGAGTCTGCTAACTCTTTCCTATAATGACCACCTTGGCAAGCAGCATTAATATATAGTAGGCTAAAATCACCATTAAGAAGCAGAGGGCGTGGTGGCACACGCCTGTAATCCCAGCCCTCAGGAGGCTGGGGCAGGAGGATCGCTGTGAGTTTGAGGCCAGCCTGGGCTACACAGTGAGTTCCAGGTCAGTCTCAACTACATAGTGAGACCCTTTCTGGAAAAAAAAATTCACCATTAAGTTCCTGACATACAAAGGATAAATCTCAATATACAAACAATGTCAAGATACAATATTGGGATTAATATGATAAATAAGACTGGGCTGTGGAGACTTGGCCACCCCAGCCCTATTTTATGTGCTGACCCATTTACCTCATCTGAGCCTGGTGCCCCAGATTGAAAGTCCAAGAGCTTTCAGCCTTGCCATTTGACTTGGACCTGTTGTCTTGATGAAAATTCATGTTGGTTTTGAGAGCTAATATTCCCTCCCAAGTCACAGAACCTTCAATCCCCCACCCCACAGCACCTTCTCCTTGCACTGGCCTCATTGTATATATCCTTTCAGTCTCCTGACTGAGAAAGGACTGGATTTCACATCTAATTAAGAGAGATTGTATTGCCTGCTCTTTCTTGTTCATTTTCTCTTATGCATAGGCAGTTTTTTATTCTCATGCTAAGTCCCATCCCTGGGCCCTCAGAATTTAAGAGACCTACAAAGCAGAGGCAGAAGTCCTGCCAGCATTTCACCAGGCAGCTTTTCCCTTCGGGACTCACCCTGATTCAGCCCCCTCTATTTACGCCCTACCACACAACACAGTCACATAGAATAGTCATATGCCACAGTACTGTTCCTTGCATATTTCAAGTTGAATACCAGCACAGGCTGACTGTATGTTTTTACTTTGGTGGACAGAGTGTGGGTTGTTATGTTAAAACATGCAGAGTGTGTGTATGGGGGGGCATCCTCAGATACACAAAATTTGTGTAGAGTTGTGTGGTTCTGTGGAATAAAGAGTGTTGGGGTTTTGAGGGGAGAGAGGCTAGTTGATGTGTGTGGGTTTTTTTTTTTTTTTTGAATAGCCCAAATACCTATTCAGTGCCAATCTAAGAAAGAATGGATTTAGCATTTTCACACCATTCCTTCCTATAGTCATTGAATAACCATCTAATCAAGATTTGTTTTCAATAGGGAACAAATCTTCTACAGTAGAGCATTTCAGATCTATTCCATTGGAATCTATACATTAATGCCCATTGGATGAAAAGGACATATTCACAAAAGCCTGCACTTAGCCTTGCTATGGCAGAAACTTTTTCCCACTGTATTAGTGTTAAAAATAAAAGAAAGCCTGGGAAAGGAATTGCCTCGGCATTGTGTGCTGCAAGAACGAGGCATGCTTGAATGGAGAGACAGATTCCCGCATCACATCTGTACGTGTATCAGCAGAAGAATGATTCTGCTTTTCAGAACTGTTCACAACAGTTGGGGCCAGTAACCTTACAGAGATGTTTAGGAATTATGTCTGTAAAAATCCAGCTAGGCTTATCAGGTCAGGTTGTATGTGTAGATAGGTTTATGTTTGTCTTTGTGATAATTAATGAAGTTGCTAACATAACTCAGACTATTTAGCAAATAATCTAATTACTTAGATGGGATGAATGTGAAATTCAATTTGGTCAAACAAGCAGTTTGAGGTTTGGGTTTGTTTTTTGTTTTTTTTTTTTTGGTACCGGGGATCGAACTCGGGTCCTTGCGCTTGCAAGGCAGGCCACTGAACCGCTGAGCTAAATCCCCAGCCCCGAGTTTGAGTTTTTCTCATGCAGTTGTGTATGTGTTTATATTTGTGTCCATGCGTGTATTTGAGTGTGTGTGTGTGTGATACAATACCTTTTGATGTTGGTCATTTCTCATCTCCAAAGCAGTCTCTATCATAACTTTCAATGCCTTTTTTCCCACTGAGACTAAGGATCTTTGAGTGTTCCAAGTTTTATTCCTCAGGGATCCACTATGTGCAGAGAAAGGAGCATCAGGAAGCATGGGCTCTAATCTAATCTAATCTTGTCACTTGCTAGTTGTGTAAAACTTCAGGCAACTGAATGAAACACTTTGAGAGGCCCAACTTCCTCTTATGTCACATAGGAATCGTAAGATCTGTCCTAAAAAAAAAAAAAAAAAAACAGGATTGTTGTAAAAAGTAAATGAAATGTTAAATGTGAGAGAATTTTGTACACTGTGAAACACTACATAGATATTATTATGATAATGGTGCTAGAGATGCTTTCTAGAATTATCTGAGAGAAGACAATTCTGTCATAGACGATATCTCTGGAGTTATCATTGTGACTGGTGTTATTATCAAATGTATGTTTCACTTGAGGAGAAAAAAGTTATTAAAATTAATATGTTCATTCTATTCAGAGATGATAATTGTACTGCTGTCTGTTTACAACCAATTTTACTGCCTGTTGTTTTACTTAAAGGAAAGAGAGACCTCAGTGACAGCAATAGTGTATTTAGAAAACTATATGTTTGTGCCTGGATGAGTTGTTTTATTTCTTGCATTGTTCCTTTGTTTAAAATTAGATGTTAAAGCCTCAAGCCCTAGAAACTTGAAAACCACGGGTGGGTTGAAAATCCTAGGTGGGTGTAGAAGTAGGTGGAGAGAGTATTAGGCAAACCTTTAACACAGCTTTATAGCAAACCTATGGCTACCTTCAGGGCCAGAGTATGTAATATAGTGTAGCAGTCAAAAAAGTGAACTCTAGCACTTGTCTGCCTAGGTTCAAATGTCACCTTTTCCACCAATTACTTATGTACCTTTGAACATGTTCTTAATTTCTCTAGCCTCAGTTTCCTCATCTATAAAATAAGGATAACAATAGTAACAATATGATTGCTGTGAACATTAAATGAAATGCATAACATGATGTGACAGTGCTTCATACAGGATAAGCTCTAAAAAAACAGTTTGTTCTTGCTTTTTATTGTCATGATGTAAGATGCACGTGGAACTCATCAAGAACTTAGAATTTTATCTGTTGACTGAATTCCAAACTGCCCTTCCTGAGTTATTGGTGCCTTCCTTCCTTTGGGGCTGTATTTTGTAATAGCACAATCAGAACAAGATCACTGTGATACTTGATCTGGCAAAGAAAATTTGTTTTACATAAGTGAAAAAGATGGAAGCTGTAGCCTAGAACAGAATTTCAGATATGTAATAGACCCCATGGAGGTGGGAAGAAGGGATTCTCCTACATAAATTAATGTAAATTTTCTCACTGAATATGAACACAAAGCTTACAGGCATTTAAATTCACACACCATAGGGATGAATACTGAAACAAGGCAGAAAAGCTAGTGAAGTATGGACTTCCCTGAGCAGGTCCTTCATATTCAGGCAGAGAAGAAAGAATCTGAAAGAGTAGGCTTGCCTCCTTTCTGCAGACCGTGACCTAGAGATTGCTTCTCACAAGTCAGGGATCAGGATTACAGACCAACCATCAGTACTTGGACACCCTTGTTTTGAAAGCCCACTTACTTGGCTTCTTCCAGATTGATTGCTCAGGTGTGAAGGCAAGAACAGAAATTTTATTGTAGAATGATACGGAGAGAGCTTCTCGAGAGCCATCAAATAGGTGAGGAAGAGAAACAGGAAAGCCCTAAGACAGTGCTGTGGCCTCCTGTTTTCTTTCTCAGTGTGGATCCATCTGCTACTAAAAGTGTCCCTGAGCTGCACAGCCACATATACAGGAGTAGCAGTGAGTCAGGGTAGCAATGGGTCAGGCTACCACATAGCCAACTGTCTGTTACCTTCCTCGTGGGAGCTGTTTCACAGTCACTGCCAGCAGGTGTATAGAGCACCCTATTTGTGTAGGGTAAACATGTCCTACTCATGGTTTCCTCCTGCCCTCCTGGCCTAATTAACAGCACACCCCTTCACGCTTAAAGTGCCCAGTTTGAGTGATACATGTGATCACCTCGTGTACAGTAGTCTCCCAGCTTTGACCTTCTAAACATTTCTCCTTCATTAAACCTCAGAGTATCACTCATATCACACATAACTGTCCTAAAGTTGTGCTCAACGAGATTGTCAGGGATGATACAGAAAGCAACCAGTGAATGCCCCTTTAGCTTGCAGATTCCATTGGCAACTGTTTGGTAAACATCTTGGTCTTGGTTGAATTTTCCAAGAATTTCTGCATACATGGTGTGAGTTATGGTAATATGCCATATAAGCTAATAGGAAGGAAATTTATTTCTTAACAATGAATATTGTCTCTTTGAATAAAATAAGGAACTTTCATAAATTGGGGTAAATGTAAATTTTCCCGAAGGAATTGGGCCAAGACTTGTTTAAAGTGGAAGTAATGTTCCCTAAAAACAAGTTTTCCATTGCCTTTCAATTCTACTTTGCTGAAATTGTAGGACTAGCAGGCACATGACCTATGTGATAATTACTTTCAACAGACAACTTCAGCTGAAGCTCTGGGGGATTAATATGGATTCCACATCCAAAAGAGCTGGGACACTGAGGTGGGAATGAAGCCAGGATGTGAAGCCTTGTCCCTCTCCCAACCTGTGTCTGCTTCTAGACTTACTGCCTTGAGGCTTCAGTGTTAGGAATACAATCAACTAGATCTGATCCTTGCCCTGTTTTTTTGTCTGCCTCGCTGTACTGCAGGTGACATCAGTTGCAAGGGGATGACCGAGCGCATTCACAGCATCAACCTTCACAACTTCAGCAATTCCGTGCTCGAGACCCTCAACGAGCAGCGCAACCGTGGCCACTTCTGTGACGTGACGGTGCGCATCCACGGGAGCATGCTGCGCGCGCACCGCTGCGTGCTGGCAGCGGGCAGTCCCTTCTTCCAGGACAAGCTGCTACTGGGCTACAGTGACATTGAGATCCCATCGGTGGTGTCAGTGCAGTCGGTGCAAAAGCTCATTGACTTCATGTACAGCGGTGTGCTACGAGTATCGCAGTCAGAAGCTCTGCAGATCCTCACAGCCGCCAGCATCCTGCAGATCAAAACCGTCATAGATGAGTGCACGCGCATAGTGTCACAGAATGTGGGTGATGTGTTTCCGGGCATCCAGGACTCTGGCCAGGACACGCCACGGGGCACTCCTGAGTCAGGTACATCGGGCCAGAGCAGTGACACGGAATCAGGCTACCTGCAGAGCCACCCGCAACACAGTGTGGATAGAATCTACTCAGCGCTCTATGCTTGCTCCATGCAGAATGGCAGCGGTGAGCGCTCCTTCTACAGCGGTGCCGTGGTCAGCCACCATGAGACTGCGCTCAGCCTGCCCCGCGACCACCACATGGAAGACCCCAACTGGATCACCCGCATCCACGAGCGCTCACAGATGGAGCGCTACATGTCCACCACCCCTGAGACCACGCACTGCCGCAAGCAGCCCAGGCCTGTGCGTATCCAGACCCTGATGGGCAACATCCACATCAAGCAGGAGATGGAGGATGATTATGACTACTATGGGCAGCAAAGGGTGCAGATCCTGGAGCGCAATGAATCCGAGGAGTGCACAGAAGACACTGACCAGGCCGAAGGCACTGAAAGTGAGCCCAAAGGTGAAAGCTTCGATTCAGGGGTCAGCTCTTCCATAGGCACCGAACCCGACTCAGTGGAACAGCAGTTTGGGACTGGGGCAGCACGGGATGGGCAGTCAGAGCCCACGCAACCTGAGCAGGCTGCTGAAGCCCCCACTGAGGGCAGCACACAGCCAAACCAGCTAGAAACAGGTGCCTCCTCTCCAGAGAGAAGCAATGAGGTGGAAATGGACAGCACAGTCATCACTGTCAGCAACAGCTCAGATAAGAGCATCCTGCAGCAGCCTTCGGTCAATACATCTATTGGGCAACCATTGCCAAGTACCCAGCTCTACTTACGCCAGACAGAAACCCTCACCAGCAACCTGAGGATGCCTCTGACCTTGACCAGCAACACACAGGTCATTGGCACAGCTGGCAACACCTACCTGCCAGCCCTCTTCACTACCCAGCCTGCAGGCAGTGGCCCCAAGCCTTTCCTCTTCAGTCTGCCACAGCCCCTGGCAGGCCAGCAAACCCAGTTTGTGACAGTATCCCAGCCCGGTCTGTCGACCTTTACTGCACAGCTGCCAGCGCCACAGCCCCTGGCCTCATCTGCAGGCCACAGCACAGCCAGTGGGCAAGGTGAAAAAAAGCCTTATGAGTGCACTCTCTGCAACAAGACTTTCACCGCCAAACAGAATTACGTCAAGCACATGTTTGTACACACAGGTGAGTGAAGGCTCCCAGAGAGGCCTGACAGCGGGAAGTGAAGGGCATTTGGGGGAGGAAAGGGCAGGACTGCAGGTAGAAGGGAAGGTTTGAAGTCATTTTTCAGATTTTAAAGAAACCTCACCCCAAAGTCATTTCTTGAATTTCCAGCTGTGCCTAAGTCATAGGAATGGAGTACTGAAATCACAGAAATGCTTTATGGAAAAGGGATGTCCTAGGGATGTGCAGCCTGCAGAAGAAAAGACTCAGGGCCTTCTTTAGGCCATAGCAAGTGCTTGACTCCCAGTGGCAGCACAATGCAGTAGCTAAGAGCTCAAGCTTCAGAGCCAGGTCACTTGGGTTTGAATTCAGGCTTAGTCACAGCCAAACATTGTCACCGTGAGAAAATGAATTTTTCTGTCCTTCAATTTCCTTGTCTAGAAAATGAGAATTAACAATGGTATACCTTCCTTATAATGCTGCTTTTGAAGATTATATAAATTAGTATACATGAAGTTCTTAGAAGAGTATCTAGCACATAACAAACATGGTTTATGTGGTAGATATTACTGGCTTTATTAAGATGGCTAGAAGAAAGGTTGCTCTGACTCAAAAACAAAAAATAGTACTGAAGCAATCATTGAAAGCTCTATAGCGGTCCTTTCAACTAAATAGAAGAAAAGGTTCTTAACAAATTAGAGTTGTTGCACAGAGATTGCCTCCAACTAACTAGAGGTACTTAAGGACAGAATGGCTGATCATTTCATAGAGATGATGTAGAGGGGATTCAATCATCAGGATGGCAAGATGAGTGTTTCCCTGGATTTTATAATTCCAGAGTGAAGGTCTCCTGACTCTCAGTCAATACCTTTTCCTGGTTCCATAATGCAACAGACATAGAAATGTGAACACTATGTAAGTGCCTCCCTATAAATGGCCATTTATACACATATGATCAGCATTTCACATAGATTCTCTGTACCTACAGTGTTTAGCACAATGATGATCATTATACTTGAAATTCTTATAAGAATCACTCTTCTGGTAAGCCTGTGGCTCCAGAATACCCCTATTTAAATGACAAACCATTAGCCAGAGCAAAGTTGAATTCTAATACATGAAAACAAATTCGTTTCTTAAAGCAGCCTATTTCTTGGATGAAAACTGTTGTGAATCTGAGACAGAACATATATGTTTTTTTTGTTTCTTTTTGGTACCAGGGATTGAACACGGGTCCTTGCACTTGCAAGGCAGGCCACCAAACCACTGAGCTAAATCCCCGGCCCTTTATATGTTTAAATTGAGAAAGAGAAGACAGCCAATAGATAGAGAAACAAAATACCCAACATTGAAGAGAATAGTTGAAATAGCGTATTATTTTAAATGAACTTTGCTTTCTTTGCAGTCCAGTTTAAGTCAAGACATTATGTAAATCAATGTATGTCTTTATGCAGATCAACTGCACTTAAATATTATAATTTTCAAACATCCAAATAAACACAGTGACTCGCTACTGAAGTGAAAAAGACAGGTCATTGCAAGTCACTGTGTTTTACTTGAGGTACACCTGAATGCATTCATAATCTGAGATCAATCAAGAGAAGTTAAGCAGCTAGCAACATTTTATTTATGTAGCAACATATGGCAGAGTACTCTCAAATAGTGTATGTCATTTCTTCCTCTAAAGAGCAGTCTTATAATGTATCAATTAAGGGTTAATGCAAAAAAGAGACCATTTGTTGGCAAATCACTTTAGCCAAAGTTGACTTAGGTGGCCTTGGATCTGTAAACATATCACCTTCAGTGCATCTTTTCCAGGAGGACTTTCAGATACAAAAGTTCACATATTTTATTAGATCACATATTGAAATGTCACTTTAAATTTGGAATATTTAATGTTCAGTATACTACCAAAAGTTGTCTGTTTGATGCATTTGTCCACAACAGGATTCTGTAGTTAACCCAGTGGAAAACCAGTAATAGATTTGCACCCTTAGACATCACAGATGAAAACAGCTATAGGTAAAAATCACTTCATATATCTGACTTATGCTCAAAGTTTGTTTTTCAGAATGCTAGTAACCTATGAAGGTGTTTGCATTAGTGTGTATAAAAGGGCCCAAATCTAAAAATAATTAATCAAATACATATATCAGCTGGCAACACATTTTTAAAAAGCAGCACTCTTCCCTTCATTCTAGAATTATTTTGCAGTGGTACTTTGGGAAGGCCATCTGTCTTTTATGGCTTTTCTATAAATGGAGGACTCTCTAACACAGCAAAGTTTAAGAAAAATTAACCATATTTTCAAAAAGGAGGGTAGCTTGAACATGTGGAGGTAAGTAAGGACCTTAATTCAACATGGCTCACATTTCTGAAGTTCTCTCTACTTTCTTAGTAACATCAAAACAAAATGGGGGCCTCCCAACTTTACAGGAGCCCAGTGTCATAACTCCAGAATTAAAGTTCAAATGTTAGTATTAAAAAGATTCTGGAAAGTACTTGGACAGCTGGAAAGGCAGAGGTAGATTTAATGTTCTTACCTGTAGTCTATCTGAAAAGAACCCTACCAAGAAAGAGTGGCTTGACAGACATAAAAGGAAAGAAATGTGGTTTCTCCCCATGATGCTGCTCTGCAAACAAATAGAACTGTATAGTAATAACTACATTTGCATTTTATTAACTCCAAAATTTAAAGTAAATGGTACTTGCTTTCACCAACTACAGAAAATCAGTTCTGAGATCTAGATTCCAAAATATCGTATAGATCTGTGTTAATGATCTACCCATTCATGAAAGGAAGTGTTTGAGACAAATAAGTAGTCCGTCGTTTTGACTTTGGAGCTAAGCTGTACCTTAGAAAACCAAGAAAGCACTAGTTATGAAGCATATTTCACAATAATTATAATATTAAAACTCATAGTGGAGGGATAAGTGAAAGATAATTTTATTGGAACTAGGCTTTGAGTCTTCTAAATAACTGTGTAACCATAAGCAAGTCATTTGATTTCACAAGCTTCAGTTTCTCTTGGTTTAAAATGAAAATAATAATTTTTCTGCCTTTGAGTAGTGTTAAAGGTGGGCACATAAAAACTTTTCATAAGAGGAAAATATTACTTCATTTTTAAAATAATCATCATTATTACTTGTACCCCCCTCCACCAAGAAGACATTGAATTTCTTTGCTCTGTGTCTCATCTCTGAATATACACTTTGAACATGTTTTGTTCCTCTATGGGATTTATGCTGAATCAGTGTGATACTCCTGAGGCTGCTTGGACTTCCTTCATTACAATTAATTTTTTATTTCTTAACAATTTTATAAGAATGAAAGAAATTACCTCACCTAATCATTCTTTATCAACTGCCAAACAAACCACAGTAGGACTCTCAGAATTTTTCATATTCACTTACTGCAGCTTCTATAAGAGCTGTGAGGAAGGAAACCGTGAGTTTAGGACATGTTTGATAGCAAAGGATTTGGAGAAAAACAAAGATAACACAAACCATCCTGCATGGAAGACATGGAACAAAGCAAGGCCCTTCCATACCTCCCCAGTCAAGGAAAAAAAAGGAATAACAAAGGTCAGAACAGACAAATGAATGTGAAAAGGAAGGACAGAGCATATTAGAAGGGTAAGCACTGGGTAACTCACACAGACATGGAAGGAAAGCTGTGGTAGTAATTCCAAGGTAACCACAGAGCAGTGTGATCTCCCCCACCCCTGCCACATCTCTTCTGTCAGAACTTCTCGTGAAGCTTAGTAACCTGTGTGTTAACAAGCCCTGATTCATGCTGAAGTTTGAGAACTGCTGCTTAGAGAGCTGAGCCAAGGTAATTAGGAGGAGAATGGCATCAGTTTCTTTTCCTATATAACATTGTTCTCTAAAATTTCTCTAACAAGAATCTGTCTTTGGAAAAAATAAACCAGTGTTATGGACAGAAGTTTGATGTTGTAATGGATAAATAATATTACACAACTTATTTCTCGGCTATGAGCAGTGAGTTCAGTCTTCCTAATTATATAGGTACCATGACAAATTCAGTACCCTTTCTGTTACTGAGTAGTACGGTACTGACTTGTGTTACCACATGTAGTCATCTTCACACCTTCCTATTAGAATGCAAAGTCTGAAAGAGCAGAAACACCCGTAAAAATGTATATCATGCATCAATATACCCAACATATACTACTTTGCAAATAGTAAACATCCATTCATATTTCATCAGTGGCTGAACCAAATTCTTCCACAGTGATATCTAATCATTTCCCAATGGATGACTTGTTTATTTTGATGTAGCTCCACAGATATATTAAATATTTTCTTCAACAACATGTTACAGATATCATGTTCTGTTACTTTGCTCTATGTAACAAAATACCACACATAATAATTGGAATGACCAGGATGGCTGGGCACTATTTATTAACCTCCAGGTGTAGGGTTACCAGATTTAGCAAACAAAAAGATAAAACAACTGTTTAAATATTAAATTTGATTTCAGATAAATGACAAGTATATTTTTAGAATATGCTCTTTGCAAGATATATGACATACCTATATTAAAAATTATTTATTATTTATCTGAAATTCACATGTAAGAAGGTGTCATATATTTTATCTGGCGTGGAGCTATCTTTTAAAATCCAGACTTAGGATTCTTGCCTTAAAACTCTATAAATGAATATGGGATAACATATGTACTTGCTTAGCAAATGTTTGTTGAGTGAACATGTAAATGAATGTTTAAAAATGTAGGCATGCTTTCCAGGAGAACTTAATTCAAGGGATTTATACATAAATGCATTCTTTTCTCAGTAAGACCTTTAGATTCTCTCTCTCTCTCTCTCTCTCTCTCTCTCTCTCTCTCTCTCTCTCTCTCATTAGCTAGAGAATACATTGTACAGATTTCTATATTCTCATTTGTATTTTCTTCACCAACAAAAGGTAGATGCATTGGCTGTTTTCCAAATCATGCTATCAACAGCCCAACCACTGGTGACTGTTTTTAGTCCATT